TCATAATGGATTTTAGCTGATTAACTGCGACAATCTGTGCATCCTTCATCTCAAATTTGCAGTTTTGTTTCTTCAGGTCGGTTAGCGGTTTAGCAACAATTGAAAAATTAGGTATGAACTTACGGAAATAACTCGCTAAACCCAGAAAGCTTTCCAGTTGCTTTAAATTCTTCGGGACATGAAATTTTACCAGAGCTTCGATCTTATCAGGAGAGGGTGCAATCTGTTTATTTTCAATTACATAACCAAGGAACTGTATTTTCCTTTTTAAAAAATGGCACTTCCTCAAATTAATCTCCAAACCATATTCTTCGCAAAGTTTTAAAACAAGTTGTAGATTTTTTACTGCTTCATTTTCATCTCTAGCAGTGATTATTATGTCATCTATGTACGGTAATGCTATGCCTTTTCTAGTCAGGTCACGAAATATTGCGTTGACATGGCGCTGGAACACTCCGGGTGAGTTGCATAAACCAAATGGGACTTTCAAAAATTGATATTGCCCACTATGTGTTACAAAAGAGGTATATTTCCTGCTTGATGCCTCAACAGCCACGTGAAAAAATCCATTCTTGAGATCAATCGTAGAAAATATGTTGGCGTCTTGGAGTCGATCAAGTTGGTCTTCTATCAACGGTAATGGATACCTATCTTTCACCATCATCTTATTTATCTTGCGGAAATCAATACAGAGTCTCGGTTCACCATTTTGTTTTTTGACTAAAACCACTGGACTGCAGTATTCGGACTCGGATGGTTCAATTATACCGTCTTGTAACCATTTTTCCACTTGAAGGTCAACAATATTTCTTTCAGAAATTGGCAAACGTCTTGGTGTACTATGGACTGGTGTTTCGTCCTTAAGAATAATCTTCATTTCGACATTTGTAGTTTTTGATTTAGCTGGTTGATAGCGTTCTATCAATTTCTGTACTTCCAGCTTAGCCTTATCACTAGCGCTCTCTTCAATGTCGATTTTGCTCACGTTACCATCCTCTAATGTGTTCAAAAGCATAATTTTGTGGATTTCTTCGTCGGCTTCACTTAGTAATTTCCGTATTTTCAAACCATCGGGTGAAATACTTATTTCAGCAAAATCACAAAATTCATTGCCCAAAATTAGGTCTACGTCAATTAAATTGGGTGGAACAACATGTCGAGTCAAAGCATAATTGTCGTCGTTGATTTTAATGTTTTGCTCAAAATTTCCAAGCGGCTTAATTTTATTTTGGTTACCAAAACCAACAAGGTAAAAATCAGATTTGGCAAGTTTCGGTTCATTCAGCTTCTTGTAAGTATCATAAGATATTATATTAAATTTACTTCCCGTATCGAACAATGTTCTTGCAGTAAACGGTTGTTGACTTAAAAATTGTACATCAAACTCCATGGGATTTCGTTTTATTGTTACTAGCTGGCGAACGTTTGCTATTTCTTGTTTAGCTGGACAGTCTTTAGATATGTGGCCAAATTTGTTGCAGCCAAAACATTTCACGCCTTTATCTTTGTCCTTACAGTTTCTAGACTCATGACCATTTTTGCCACAATTAAAACAAGGTTTCCCCTTAACGTCGTTCTTTGGTTTATTTGATGCAAATCCTGCATGTTTTTGCGTAGTCGTTTTCTTTACCATAGTCTCATAACACTTCAATTTCATTTTAAAATTGTCTAAATTTGTAGCGCCGTATAAAATGGATTTGTTTATAGTTAAATCATTTATGCCGTCGATAACATATTCCATCAGGGTACTTTCATCAATATTTCCACGTGAGGCTAATTTTTTCATATTAAAAAAGTATTCATGAACAGATTCGCCTCTGTTCATTTTGCGCTCTATCATCATTTTATGCAATTGTGCACTATTCACAGTTGCGCCAAATTCGTTCCTCAACGCTCTCGTCAATTTTGCATACGATGTGATACCTCGCTCACTCGTTATGAATAATCTGGCTATCCCTTTTAACGACTTTTTAGCGAAAATAAACTTCTGAAATTCATCAAAACCCATGATAGTTGAAGTTTCATCAAACTCCTCTATCCATGATTCAATCGGCATATTACCATCGCCGTCAAACGAGGGAATAGATTCTTCAATGTCTCTGTAGTTTATTGCAAATCGTTGCATGCTCAAAGAATTTGCTTTTCCTTCTTTAACTAACTGTTGTTTAACGTTCCTATGTTCATAAGTATTGGTGCATTTTGAGTAACTCGTGGTTTTGTTTTTGTTTTGATTTCTTACTACTCTGTCTCTGCCGGCGTTAGCATTGTGTTTCTCCTTTGCAGCGTCGTCACCTCTGAGAGTATTGTTTTCTACGTCGTTAAATACAATGGTTTTATCATTTTCGTCGTTAACATCATCATCGTCGTCGTCATCATCATTATTGTCATAATTACCGTCGTTGCGCTTGTTATAATCTTCGCTGCACTCGTCATTATCGTCGTTCTCGGCATTGCTTTCAACATCATCGTCGTTCTCTTGACAACATAACAATTGTCCCTTCTTCAAGTTGATAAATATGTGTTGAAACAGATCGGAGTAGTTGTAACTCAAACCTTAAACATTGCACACAGCAACCAAATCTCCGTCGTTTAGGTTCTCTTCGACGTATTTTCTTTTAAGTACATAAACGTCGTCGTCCACATCGAAGACAAACCCTTGGAACTGGCGTAGACGTTTTCGGTTATCGCGGTCTCCTTCTTCCTCAAAAACGAATTTGTGCAGTGCAGTAATCGTCGTTTTCTTTGCTCTCAAAATATTGTTCCTTACGTCCAGAAAATCACCTAAAGCACTCATATTTCTGTCTCTTGCTTTTACTCGCTGCTTTTCAAAATAGTTTTTGTTTTTCTCGATTGCTTTTTCTGAGAAGTCGGCGTATCTCTTTTCGACACGAAATTTACTTTTAAACGTGATCTCTACTATGAAACGACTTTGAACATTGATTCACTGGGGTTGTTTTTCAATGAATAAGTTTCTCTTTTTTTTACAACACTTTCAAATAAATTATCCTTGGTTGAGCCCCCAATTTTGTAGAGATATGATTTTAGATAAAATTCAAATAGATTTATTTATAAAAATTTAATGTTGGAATGTAAAAAATAAAGTGAAAATACAAATTCAAAGAATATTTATTTGAGAGATGCGCGCACACGACCGGCTGGTTTAAGAGGTAGATGAAGACTGACTCACACAATTGAGTATGCGTGCCTAGGTGTTTTTTCTCTCTCCCACAATAATAGAACAGTCAATTTTTTCAGTTCCGCGATTTTTCTCAAAATTTTCTTTCATGACAACGTTTCCACTGTTATTACAAATAACCAAAAGAAAATTTGAGTCAAATCGTCCCAGCCGTTCTCAACTTATCTGTTACTATACTTTTGCAATTTTTTACATATAAATTTAAAGAAGTAGGTGTGGCTAGTTCCTCTGCCCCAAACAGATACCTAGGGGTGGAGGGAGAGTCAAGATTACGTCGTATACTAACTGTGGAACAGATATCCTCAAAAAATGGGCGCATAATTGGGCGTGGCCACTTTTTCTTTGCATAAAAACCTAAATCGGGGTAGGACGAACATTTAAAAAAACATATCCAAGTAGTTCCAGCCGGTCTCAACTGATTCAATTACCAACGAACAACAATTGGTTTATATATAGATTAAAAAGTAGGCGTGGTCAGTTCTTCAGCCTCCAAATAAATACATAGGATTGGATGGAAAATCAACAGTATCTCGTGTAATAATTTTCAAACCGATATCTTCATTATTTTGGCAAATAGTGGGCGTAAAAGTTGGCGTGGTCAATATTTTTTTCTTTAAAAACCTAATTCGGGGTATGACGAACGTTTGTACAAAAAATTATGCAAATCGGTTTAGCCGTTCTCAACTGATTCCATTACCAACAAACAACAATTAATTTATATATAGATTATGAGTAACTCTCGTCCTGTTTATCTAACAATCTGTTTTCCTTTTTGGAAAATACTCTTGCCATTTTCACAGATTTATCTTCTTATAAATGAATGAATTGCCAGAATTGTTACAATCAATTGATTTCTAATCAAATGAATAAATAAAATTAGATTTATTTAAGGATTGTTATATATTTGTAAATAAATGTAAATGAAATATTTTGTTGTTGCAAAATGGTCAGGCTTAATCCCTTTATTGTTGTTTTTATAAAAACAACGTTTGTTTATTAGTGGAGAGCGATGGCAATGTTTACCAGGGGGTAAGACAGATGTAAATGTTTATAAGTGCGGTTGTAAGATTTAGAAGATTTTCCAAAAGAATTTTAGTTTTATTGAATTCTTTCTATTGAGCTGTTTTTTTGTTACAGAAATTATTTTTTAATATCCCAGACAAAAACAAGGGAACTGATGAGGATTGGTGGCTCTTTTCGAAAGCTAGGTATTTCCTGCCTTACCCCCTGGTAAACATTACCATCGTTCTCCACTAATAAACAAACGTTGTTTTTATAAAAACAACAATAAAGGGATTAAGCCTGGCCATTTTGCAACAACAAAATACTATGGTATCCCGAACAAACAAGCCAACACTGCTCTGTAAATGAAATAAATGAATTGAATATCAATTGAAATATGCCATTGCGTTTGCCAGCGATAGTATGTGTTCTAACATTTTTATTTTATACGATGCTGCTGCAAGCGCCATTCTCATTTCGGTCAAGTCAACCGTTTTATTTCGTTTAATTAATTCGTGTAGAAAGAATTTTCTAAAAAGGCTTGAACAAGTGGGAAAAGTGTCTCTTCCGACATAGCATCACGCTCCGAAACTACCAGTGTAGCGCTTTGTGTCTACAATGACTTTTTTCTTATAAACACGAATATAAAAAATAACTTCTTATTATGTTATATCTTTATATGTATATGCTATTCAATCAAATTTGTTTTTATCTACTTTAAATGCTTGCCAACGATATGATGCCAATGTGTATGAAATATATCTCACCACACTCCACTTTTTTATTTTTACGAATTTTTTAGCGCCTTTGGAACAATGCACTTTGGATCAGCAACTTTCGGCTACTTCAAAAACGCTTTTGCCTTTAAGAAAACAGTCACCTCCATCATGGTCCAAACTGGGCACAGACATGTTTATTGCTGCCAATAGCAATAACGCAGATTTGGCAAATACTGTGGCAACCACTGCTGCTGCCGTCGTTACAGAACAATCAAGGTCATTTTTGGATGCAGCCTCAAAACAATTTCGCGTGTTTCGTCAAAATTTATCATTTGGCAACGAGTCAGTCACCACGGCATCGACGACGACAATAACCTCATCTACCGTTAACAATCCCAATAGTGGAGAAGCAGAAATGATGACCGGTATGTTGCACAGCAACAGTGGTGCTGCCGCAGGTGTCGTTGGTGGCATCACCAGTTCTTGTTGTATAGCTCCATCATCCTCCGCAGTCGAATGCAATGTCGACACTTTACCCACCGATGTAAAACAAGAAATTAAAGAAAACATTTCCCCCGAACACACAATTAACGAGGAGACATTACGAACCATACAGAAAATGGCGGGCAACGCAACGCCACCAACTGCATCAGTAACGACACCAGCCGAGTGTAATTACGACGTTGAAGATTTTGTTACGAAGGACACACAAACTGGACATGAACAGAAATGAATCAAAATATTACATGGATCTAATTATTCGCACAATATGGAATCAGCAGCAGCAGCAGCAGCCACAGTAGCCACTTCAACTTTTAAAACTATTCTGGAATTTTTTTATACCTATTAAGTTCACCAAAATGCTTACACTTTAATTTACAAACACACTCATTCTACACACACACACACACACACACTCAGCAATTGGTTTTTCTAAAAATTAATAAGTTTATACACCGTTCGTTACATACACACAATTCGTCATAATTTTTTTATTAAGTGATTATTTTCGCCTCGTTTTTCTTTTTATAAAGTTATTGTGTTTGCTTATATTTTGAGCCTTGATCCACCTACACACACACACACAATTACAAATTATTATCACTATCTTCTTGTAGCCAGCCAACACACATTAGTTTAAGCGTTTTTTTTTTTTTTTTTGTATTACTATCAATATAAATATTATGATACGATTATGATGGACCCACATTTAAAGGTAATCTTAAATATATGAGATCTTTTACATTTCTTTGTACTATTGCAGTCAGCGACCGCAGGCTCAGTGTATGTGCATATTTGGCCAAGTGGATAAAGCGACCGATGCAGGATCGAAGAAACAACTGAAACCCGCATGAAAGTGTACGTTAAGTACAGCATATGTACATGCAGCGCGGATCGTTGTATAACCATTATATGTTTGTCCTTTCCATCTCTTCGTGGATGCATATTTTATTTTGAGTCTGAAACAAGGACGGTCTGTATCTTTGTGGTCATTTTCTAGCAAAATGGTGTTAGATATATGTATATTTTTTTAAAGACGTCATCTCTCAGCACATTTATGTGTATAATCCATTATTATTATTATTCTTATAAAAAATAAATTCCATAGACGTTTTGCAAACTAAAATCTGAGAAACGGCGTCGAATATGACTGTAATGAAAAATTTGGAAATTATCGCCCGTTCTTCATTTGACGGAGAGAAATGAAAAGAAAACAAACTGGTACCGAAGAGTAAGATCGCCGTTGCACAATGCAAAAGTCACATGCCCATTCTATAGGAATGGCAGCAGCAACAACAACAATATTAACTCCTATTACGGCAAGGAAAGCACAACCACCAGCCCCCCATCCCCATTGATCTCAATGTATGTGATAATGTCGCAACACTAAGAGAGTTGCGTCGCTTACTAATACTAATACAGTTTATTATAGTTAGTCAAACTAAATAACAACAAAAACAAACAATACATGTATATTTATGAATACATAATGAAGAACAATTGTTAATAGTAAATATATGCGATTATATATTAATTATTAATTATTGTTTACTAATTAAATAATTAATTATTGTTATATTTTATAGTTTTATATAATCTGTCCAGCACACTACACTTCCCCCAATTTTGAGTTTATTTGAAATTGTTTTTATTTTAGTGGCAAATGCTACCTCCTCCTCCGGAATGGAATGTTGTTGTGCATCTCGAACACCGGTTACTTGTGCAGCGGTTGGAACAATCTTCGCGTAGCAAACTTACTTAACAATTTATAAAAATAACAATCCAAAGAGAAATTTACAAATTTATATAACTATTACAAAAATATATTGTACCTACATGCATACAGAATGTAAATCGACCTACTACAAGTCACAGCAATTAGTAGCTAAGTAAATGTCTAAACTGATATTTACAATCATCCTGCAAACCCCGTAAAAATTGAGTAAAATTAGTTGAATAGAAACCAATAAAGGAACACAAAATGATATAAATTAACATTAATCAATCGTTATTACACACAAACACAAACCAAATCACACATTAACACTTTATAGAGTTTTGTATTTCTGTGTGACATTTAGATTGAAACCTAATTGAAACAAAATTAAAAAAACTACATACAAATACATATATACAAGAAATACATACGTTTAGCTTTCACAATATTAATGCCTTTTTGGGCATTGTTAACATACGAAAATCCTGAACATAAATGTACTATTTTAAATTTTGGCTAGAGTCACTTAAAATTTCAGCTCCTTTTGCCTGATTTTGGGAAATTTCTTTTTTGTTTCGTTAGCAATAAGCATAATTATCTAGAAACATTAGTTTTATTTAAAAAGTGAGAATTAAAGTTGACCTACATTGACGTTTATTTAAATATAACAAATTGGCCATATTATATAATTTTAAATTATACCATGCAGTGCTATTCTTTTGAGTAACAAATATTTGTTTATAGGAATTGTATGTTGCTCTCCCTTTGTTTTTTTTTTTTCGTATTCATCAACCTTATTCGAAATAAAGTGATTGATGTGTGTTAGAAACTACCATCTTTAAAAATTATTATTTTTCTTTTAATACTGTCAAGTGATCGATTGAAGTCTGTTGGTTTCCGTATACTCAAATGAAATACAACGACCGTTTTTATATTAAATTAAGAATTCACAAACGTTTATTAAAATCAATTATACGAGCTTAAACTAGTACGCCTTGTCAGGTTGGCTTCGTATCTTCAACTTTTTACATTTTAAAAATTCAGGGTTGTATCCGGGTTGCATGTAATCGTATATTTTCACATGTATGCAACAAAAGGTATCTACTACTACTTTTAACTTGACAACTCGGCCTTTCCTGACCTGAAGTCGTCCTCGGCTTCATCTTCGCTTGAAACATCCAATTCGGGGGAACATTCACACCATTTCTTCAACTTGTCGGAACTGAATACGGAACAGAATTTCCTATTCGTGATGTTTATTCCAGGAATGTCCTCTATCAGGTACCTGTCGTTGCCCAATACTCGTGCTATTATGTATGGACCTTTGTATTTAGGTTCTAACTTCCGGGATTCACCTGTCGCTGGTGGTTCATTCTGTATAAGGATCAAGTCACCTTCCACATACAATTTCGGATTCGAATGCTTGCTGTCAAATCTTTTCTTCCATCGTTCTCGTTCGCTTTTGATGTTTTCTGCGGCCATGATACGTTTTTCGTTGATGGAAATTTCTTCGTTTTGTACATCATCTTGTACAGCTGCTAACAATCGGTTTTGTATTAAGTCGGTGGGCTTGTAATCGAAAATCAACTCATTCGGACTGTAACCTGTTGTCGAATTTTTGGTTGAATTGATTGACCATTGTAAAACGTGAAGTGCCGAGTCCCAATCCTTCGGTTCTTCAGTGGTAGTTCGTAAATAAGACAGGATAAGTTGATTGACCCTCTCAACTTGTCCATTGGCTCTTGGTGTACGAACGGCATTCTTAATGTGTTGAATATTGTTTCGATCGCAATATTCCTCAAACATTTTTGACGTAAAAGCTGTCCCACGGTCCGAAATTATTCTTCGAGGTAAACCAAAGTATCCACTAACCTCATTTAAAACGTTGATGACGGGCAATGTCTTCGTATTCCTTACAGCTTTAATAACCACAAATTTCGTAAAGGAATCGGCGATTGCCACTATATGTGTATGACCATGCTTGCTTCTTATAAACGGTCCCAAGTGATCAATATGTACTTGCCTAAATGGTAGCGGTTCGACATTACTAAAATGTAGAGCTCCTTCGTGTTTACCACCTTTTGCCTTGTTGTAGCAACACTCTACACACGCTGCAATGTACTCCTTCATATATTTCCTCATGCGGGGGAACCAAAACGTTTGTTCGACTCGTGAGAGGCTTTTCTCCAACCCGTAATGGCCAATATCATCATGACAGTATTTAGCTATGCGCCATCGTATAGCCTTCGGTATGACCAATCGTAGTCCATTTTTCGTTTTCCGGTATAGTCGATGTTTTTCCAATAAGTATTCAGATTTTATCTGTTTCTCTTGCTCAGATTTCAATTCATTTCGCAGTACTCTCATAATATTCTTCATATGGTCGTCGTTTAGCTGCATCGTGAGAATCCAATCATCGCTATCAATATTCATTATGAACCCTGCTGGTTCAATCTCCGTCTGTGGCTGATCCGGTGAACGGCTGAGAGCATCAACGTGAGCCATACGTGACCCTTGTCGGTGTACATACTCACAATCAAATTCAAGTAATTTCATCAGCCATCGTGCTACTCGAGGTTGTAATTCCTTCGTTGTCTTCACATTAGTAATTGCGGCACAATCAGTGACGATTCGGAATGGCTTTCCAAGTAAATATATACGGAAACGCTGCACCGTTTCAACCACAGCTAAAACTTCCAGCTCGTAACTGTGATATTTCGATTCCGTTTCAGAACAGTGGCGGCTAAAATAAAACACTGGTTGCCAATTACCATTACCATCGGACTGTAATAACACTCCTGCTAATCCGAGACTGCTAGCGTCCGTGTGCACCTCGTGATCTGCTTTCATATCGTAGATTGCTAAAACTGGTTCACTACACAAAATTTGGATTAAACTTCTGAATGCGTTTTCATGGTGTACGTCCCAACGAAATTTATTCTCTTCGCTCTTTCGTGTCAACATCGCAAGAGGTTTCGTAATGGCTGCATAATCCTTTACAAATTTTCGGAAGAAGTTAGTTAGGCCAAGGAATCGTCGTACTTCTGTTACATTCGTTGGTACCTTAAAATTTCTAATCGCTTTTACTTTTTCTTCTCCAGGTAAAATTCCGTCACGTGTAACTATGTGTCCCAAATAAGAAATCTTTTCGGCTAGGAACGAACATTTCGCCAATCGTAACGTGAGACCACATTTCTTAAGGATATCCAAAAATCTTTTTATTCGGTCCAGACCTTCATCGACTGTTTTACTGGGAATTATGACGTCATCCAGATACGCTAAAACTTCTCCTGGTTTCATAAAGCTTATAACTCGGTTCATCGTTGCCTGAAAAACTGCAGGTGCGTTTACCAAACCAAATGGCATCCGGTTGAATTCATAATGACCATCTGAAGTCACGAAAGCTGTGAACTTTTTCGATTCTTCCTCTACTTCAATTTGGTGGTAACCCATACGTAAGTCGAGTGTGGTGAAATAACGATTTCCGGCGAGTTGTGCAATCTGTTCATCCAGTACAGGCATAGGATGCGCTATACGTACGGTTATTCGATTCAACTGTCTATAATCTATACATAAACGGTGTTCACCATTTCTCTTCTCGACCAAAACAATTCCCGATGCATACGGAGAATTCGATTTCCTTATGATTTCGTTATCCAGTAAGTCTTTCACAATATTTGCCACAATAGGACGTTTGGCAAATGCTAGTCGATATGGCTTGCATCGTATTGGTTCTGGAGTAGTAACTTCGATTTCCATCTTCACTAAGTTACACTTACCCAATTCGCTTGACTTTTCTGAAAAACATTGTCGGTTTTCTTGAATGTTCAACTGCAACTTCTTATGCTCTTCAGATGTTAAGCCTTCGTTGATACTAATCGCATTTACGTTTTGCATCCAACACTCATCTCCTTCAATAATGGTGCGTCGACCTTTTTGGCATAAAACATCTCGACCTAAAAGAACATCATTCGGGATCATAGAATTTTCCACAACATAAAGGTTCACGTCGTAACTCGTCTCATCAATGTCAATTGGCACTTTAACCACCTTTGTGCACTCGTATTTGCCACCAGCAAAGCCATTTAAAACCATACTGCAATTTTCCGTTTCGCCAATTATCATTGCAAAACTTCGTCTGATCAGACTCCGATCACTTCCCGAATCAATAAATGCCTCAAACTCCTTGTCCTTTACTTTGACACGTTTACATAGTATTTCGTTGGACTTTACGCTGTCCCTTATATTGTTGACATTTGTGTTCAGGGTTTTTGTTGGACATTCACTTGCACCGTGTGAAGTCCGTTTGCATATCGTACATCTATTCTTCTTCTGTGGATCTGGGCAGTCTACGGCTTTGTGACCAGTATTACCACAATTAAAACATTTGAATTTATTCACTCTTTCATCGCTTTTCCTTTCTGGGGCAGTTCTATTTTCATTGCTACGTTTCGTCTTATTCGATATCGGGTTCAGCACTCTTCTTACCTCGTTATAACTACAGTATGCGTTGATGTCACTCAAAAGTTGATTACAGGTAATATACTCGTTAGATATTTTCTGCTTCAATCCTTGATCATTAATTCCGTTGACTATATGCCGTGCTATGGATGATTCATTTATATTGCCCCGTTTTCCAATAGCATACATTCTGTAATAATATTCCTGCGGCGTTTCGTCGAACTGCCGTTTTGTCTGTGCCATTCTAATGTGTACATCGGCTGCATTTACATTTTGAGGGAAATCTAAAAGAAATTTGTTAACAAACTGAGGCCAAGACAGAAATACCTCTTGCAGTGAGTCAACCCAATACTTGGCTGGGCCAGCCATTTTCTGTTGCACTGCAAATATAACTGATGCGTCGTCCCAGTTATAAGCTGTCTTCAATAATTCCACACGTCGCACGAATTGTGAAGGATTAATCGATTCTTCAGATGACGGATTAAACTCTGGCAAAAGTTGAATTATTTCCTTAACGTTCCCAAAGGGGTTGTGCTGAACATAACGTTGTGAAGGCTGCATAACTATTTCTGACTGCGGCGGCGCTGAATAGACACTTGTTGCAAATATCGGCGGTTGTAGATATGCGTTGTAGGGCTGCGTTGATTGAACATATCCATTGTTCGGCTGCGTGAACACTCCTGTCGGTGTTGCTGTTGTAAAATTCGAATGTGTCGTTATATGTGTTGGTACGTTGTAGCATGACGTCGCTACATTTTGCGTTGTATTTCGTGGAAGTTGAGCATGTCCGTGCAATGAAGGTGTAAACGTTGGTAAA